AGTTGATCTCAAAATGTATTAGTACTAGATGAGCTGAGAAATATTATCAATAATAATGGGTTTGTTTTGCAGGTCGAGGTTGCAGTACGAACTTTTTCGAGTCGCTCATCTACTTTTTGGAGAGCATATGTTCTGTTCTTTATGACGACTGAAAAAATGAATTGATATCTTTCGAAATTTCGGGTTAAGTTAATCCTGAAGCATTGAAAACGTTGCAAGAATGTGCAAAATCATGACGCTGAGCTGTGCTTTTCAGCTGAACCCTCTGTAAGTTCTACTTCCCAACATCCCATAATGTGAGCATAATTCATGGATCATACGTTCTTACGTTATAGTTCAGCATCTCTACGATCTGAACAACACAAAACAAATCTTATCAAAGTGCTCGAAACTATGTGATCAGATCGCCTGAAGTCTGAGAGATCAATAATTGCTATGTTCAAAGATCAACTGATGATCGACAGAAAGGCCAAATCTGAAGTGAGAGATAGTCTATGCGATCGGTCAGTTGTACGATTCAGGTTTAAAAATTCAATTCTATTCCTCCAACTAACAAAGAACATTATCCGTTTATAACACACACACACACACATGTTTCTTTATGCATAACAAATCCTGTAGTGTCAAGAAATGATGTGTTGTTGAGCGAAGCTGAAGGCACATTTGGGTTGACGACACTCATGCAGACTCCAGTCAGTTCGTGNTCCTGCAACTAACAAAGAACATTATCCGTTTATAACACACACACACACACATGTTTCTTTGTGCATAACAAATCATGTAGTATCAAGAAATGATGTGTTGTTGAGCAAAGCTGAAGGCACATTTGGGTTGACGACACTCATGCAGACTCCAGTCAGTTCGTGCTAATTCTAGTGCTGGGATAAGTTATTACTTTTAGATGCATTTATTAGTGAGCAAACAAATCATAAATGAAAATGAAACGTACAAGGTGGAACATTTCTTAATCACGAATCACCCTTCTCGATACGCCTCTAGCATTGATGAGGAATTTAATCAAGAATCTCCACAAAGAATCATCGATCGCAACAAAGCTAACTTTCATTGAGCTTTCATCTTATAATTTCCATATGTTTACCCCCACACCATGTGTGAAATAAAAGTAAATCTCAGTGAAGAATAAGCATTTCGATAAAAGAATCTTGCATGCAGCCGTTTCTATTCACTTGTAGCTCTTTTTATTTGTCAGCAAAACTTTTTCAAGCTGTCCCACTGGACTTTGCATCTGCTCATTAAAAATAAGCTGGCACACTTCAAAATTCTCGAGGATGCGATTGTACGAGTGAATATTCGGTTTCATATCCTGAATCTAACAGGTGAACAGAGATCAGATTGCTGCACATGTTGATGGTTATATTGCTGCTCGGGATGGGCTTCGTGACGGAACGTTACTGTACTCTTACGGTATCGATTTGCGTCTGCAACTACATCTTCTGCGTCACAATAATCCTCATTCATCGCACTTTCACGATCTTGCTCTTCAGAAGGTCGACATTCACCGACGAAATCCACTGTAATCGTTTCCTCTGAATGCATATCGTCACACTGCAAACAAAACATCACTTGCTCATTGCATGAAACCAACGGTGTGCTTCAAAGCTATCAGTACTGTAGTTTTGTGGAAAGTACTTGAATTCACAGAAAATCTATGATTTCAAGGAGCAAATTTTAACTTTAATAAAAGTCAAAATTAGCTGATACTGAAAATGAGCAAATTTCGTGTTGTTAGCGGATGCGTTGATATATTCGAAAATATATTATGAAGATGATGAGAAGAGTGATTATTCCAAAACGCAATTGATTATTTTTGTAAATTTTTCAGAATTTTTTGCTCAAACTTCGAATTTTTCTTTTTTTTCTTTTTTCCCGGACGAATACATATCTCCTCATTGTTTCTTCAATAACGCTTGATTATTCGCGACAACTTACGCTCTGATTTTGCTGGTGTGTTTGTTGGCTTCGCGTTGTTGCAGCAGATAATAGCATAGTTTGTCTGTTCATATAATCATAATCGTACGAATCATTGCTATCAGTTGCTGGATTATAGCGGATTGAAGCAGGCTGATAAGCATAACAATAGTATGAATTTGTTGGTGTTGCATTAGATGTCGAGTGATATCGTTGTTGTTGTTGTGGATTCGTCGATAAATGATTATTGCTATTTGATAGATCCATCAGGTTTCGTGAATTGTAACTAAAACTGTAACTAGTGAACTGAGTAAGCAGCCATCCGAGCTGACCAAAGCCAGTCACGGACTCATCAAAATTACATTCTGAGACTGATGCTTTGTGCGATGATCAAAAATGGTCACATAAGCAGATAGGAATTGTTTGCAAAAAAACCAACTCTGGAGGAGCCACTGGTAGTGTGCGATTGGCGTTGTTGTTGTTGTTTTGAAGAGATTTTGGTCTTGAAGTGAAACAATTATTTGGATTGGATGGAGTGATTGCAGAATCCGTGTCGCAGTTGTACGATGAAGAGAATGTTGATAGACGAGGATGCCAATTGTAAATCATCTTTAGGTCTTCTAAGGGCTTCTAAATTAGTCGATGATTCAGGGCCATTACTCGGAATAAATTGCTGATCAGTCGAGAGTTTTGGATTGAGGTGGTGAACTTGACGTTACAATGGAGTAATGAAGCCAGTAAGTTGTTAGAAGAGAGACGTTATGGGTAGTTTTTGCTTAATTTTTGATAACAACTCGAGAACTTTCTTTCAGAGTTGATTAGCAAAACAGGAAGATGCAAACAAGTAAAAGGCATAAATGAACGAAGTGTTCAAGAAGAATCGCAAAAAATTCTGAATATTAAATGAATAAAAGCGAATCAAAGGATTTGAATTTTTTGAGAGAGGATGTCAACTGATCACCGATCAACTGAAGATCAATTTGCTAACAGAATTTCGTTGAGTGGCGGATTGTTCGGATGTTCGCTGTGAACATTTGTTGGATGGTGACATGAAATCATAGGCCGGATAAAAACTCCTAGCAAGTGCAGGATTACCGGTCGAATTCGGTGCTCGCATATTAACCACTGAATATGATCGAATACAATTGGCGCTGAAAAGACAATGATAAAATTACGCATTTCACACTTTCATTTCATCATTTATATTTTCAACTCCTCGCAAATTCAATCGCAACTTGTGGCCCTCTGCACTGACGGCTTCTACGAAATGTCAAGTGAAACTTCTTCAAATGAGAATAATGAATGTATTTATCCATAATTGATCAAAAATATTGCGAGGGATATGGCCTTCGTCAACTGCAAGCAACTGATCTAGTACAGATCAACAGTGCGTTGCTATAATCAGTCGGTTTTGAAAATGGTCACATCACCTTCAGGCATACTCAATTTCACTCAAATGGTTGCAATTACTTATGTCAGTCATTTTCATGAAGCATGACCTACAGTCAGATCAGAGAAAACTGTCTGCATTGCTGAATGAGACTCGATGATTTCAGGAATTGACTTCCACACTTGGTTAATTGTATTGAATTGTAGTATGCTAGTATTTACCTGGTTTTATCGCACTGTGCTAATCGACATTGTCGTCTTCGTTGGCACATATTCGAACAGCAGCAAAAGCATATCAGAATGCACGAAACCATCAAAATACAAGTGATTACACCAAAAATAAAGCCAAATATCCATTCGCATTTGTTTCGTTCCAAAATTCTCAATCCTTCCGATAAACACTCGAGAAGTATTTGAGTATCCTGAGAATTCTAATCATAATTATGAATCAATAACCAAAATAAGCATTTTGCATGCTTATTTTTGATCAGAACTTCATGCTACAACTGATTTAGTAAGCAATGCAGTTTAAAGAAATCATTGGATTCACTTAAATGCTGCAATTTCAATCTGAAGCATTTTGGATTTCCAATGAAACTTCCATAATATAGATAGTTGAAGCTACTGTGATCAAATTCCGCTCATTTTGACGTTTTGAATCGCAAAATTTTTGCTATTGTTGCGAACAAACTGATGAACGTAAATAAAGTGAAGTGTTTTGGTCGCGCTCGATAACTTCACAACTTTCGCATTCTCAAAGAAACAAGTAATTCATATTCCTTCCGAAAACTGCCAAAAATTCATAATGATTCAGAGCGTGCGATTTCTCGTCACTTCTCTACAAACCGCAGCCGCAAATGAAAGCTTTCGAGTGTTAACTAAGTCCGTCGTTGTGAAAGTCCCTCTTATATTCATTTGATTAAACCCCAAAATTGTTCTCCTGTTTGATTTGAGCCCCTCTTTGCAACCTCCAAAATAGTCATACGTAAAATTCGAAATCAGCTTCCAAAACTATCAACTACTATCTTACGTTGGCTGAAAACCATGTGGACTCCATTGATGGCGATTGCTGTTCGGTAGCATTGAGAAACAGCAAAGAATATTCCGATGTCATGCCAAATTTCTGAAACTTCATTCATTTCTCTCACTATAATCAAGCCCAAAAGCAATTGTCAAGTGAAACTTCCTCAAATGAGAATAATGAATGTATTTATCCATAACTGATCAAAAATATTGCGACGGACATTGCATATCCATATAGATAGCAAAAACAATACAATGCAATATGAATTGATTAAATTGGAGCTGATCGCGATCAAACTAGCGATAAAGGAGCGATCAATCTTCAGACATAATCAAATGAACATGCCCTTATAATACGTTGAGAAACCATTGGCCGGTGAGGAGCTTGTACAGCATTACTCACTAATCGTAAATGAAAAACGAATAGAAATTCTCTAGAAATTAACATTTTGCGTGTGAATAGGAAATGGAACTTGAATAGTGAATGAAGGGAAAAAAGTGAACAGCACATAGTTAGTAAACGAAAATAACATAGCCATATACATAGCAAAAAAAAGCGAAACTGAATAAAGGTCTGCACAGAATAATGAAAGGTTTTTCGAACAAGAATGAGAAGAATGTGTATAAAACAGTGTGCTTCATCGCTGCAGATGCACATGGCTAATATTGTACGAAAATGCGTGCTTATATTGCAGGTTGGAATTTCTCGCAATTGGCTTCATTTTGTTCAGTTCGAAAGCGTCTATTTGATCTTATCTTATCTGCAATCAACATCTGCTCAGCGATAATTCGCAACACCAGCTTTCAGAGTGAAGCAACGCAAGAAAGCATCGTTTTACAACCCACAAAAGTGTTTGGTGTATAAGGATGAGATAACCAAAACTGAATTCAAAACAAATGGCAATACTAAATGATTCGAAAAATTTTATTTACGGAAGTTAATTTATGATCTCAAGAAGATTTACAAGATTATCATCTACGGTCATGGACTGATGAAAGCTCAAATGTTTCCGGTCGAATTCAAAATTGGGATCATTCTCTATTCAAAATTCATATTTCAAATTCCATTTCATGATTGATGAATGTTCTCTTCGTTGTAATATAATCATGAGTAATCAGAATTCGATTGCAGTTGTAACGAAAAAAAATGCAAAAGTAATGGCCAGAGCTTATGTAAGGGATCGTAGAACCAAGCATTGGTTAAGGAGTGTAACGAAAGTTAAGGATGTCCTTAGGATTATAACAGAAAGGAAGTTAGACTGCGCTAGGAGACTAGCATTTATGTTAGAGGAGGATTGGGCAAAATGAGCTGAAGGATGGCCATCGAAGGCTTGGAAAAGAACTACGAAAAGGGCAGCGATGAACTGGGGAGATCCGATTTGCAAGCGGACCGATCAAAATTAGATGCAGAAACCGATAGACAGGAATACTGGTGATGTTATTAAAGAGACTTTCAATCGGAACGAATACTGATAGCTGAATAGATAAACGTATGACTCAATAATCATGAAGCAATGACTGCAAACATTTCCCGTATGATTCAAGTAGAAACGATTAGCATCGAAGAAATTTTCAGGATTCTCTGAATCTCTTTTCACTCGATCGCGTTGATCGCTCGTTGATCTTTATAATCTCTCGAAAATGCTTAAGATTCTTTCAACATACTCATCATATTCTTCATGACTTCAAATTCTTCCACTCGTTTAAACTTATTTTAACGATACGAGCAAAGTGCTGTTCTTTCGTTTGAAAAACATCGGTTTGCTAACTTATTGAGAAAATTAGTGCATTCACACCGACACAAACGTATTATTATAGGTTAACGGAAATGGATGGCGGTATAGCAGGAATGATTCAAATACCATCGAAGCTATCAACCAATCTCATAGACA